TTATATTTAATTTTAAATAAATATTTCTAAATTTTTTCCAAATAGATGTAGTACATAATTTCTCATAGTATGTATAAATACATTTTATATTTTTTAATTTACTTTATATAACTTTAAATAAAAAATACAAATAGACTATATACAAGAATTATCGTTCTCAAAATCAATCGCTTGAACATTTGCTGATAGATACAAAATGTAACTATTATAAACGCTTTCGAGGGACGCATAAAATATTAAACAATGATAAAGATAATAAAAAATTCGGGTGTAAAAATTAAGAGAAGGTTATTTGTTAATCACGTTCCACATATTTACTTCGATGGCTACCAAAGTCATCTACACTTTAAATTATCGGTATTTATATTATAACGTACTTTTATCATTGAAAAATATACTTTATCCATTTCTTCTTTACAGTAAAATCGTTAGGCATACATTGCACGATACAGTCAAAAATATCGACGTCACATGCACACCGTCAAGTTGTCATTTACGAATAATACTACACGTCCAGAGCCTACTTTAGATCAGATAGATACAGGGTATAGGCTATACAGAGGGTAAATCTGGCAACAATGTCAGGATTCAGAATTCTCGTCTTGATATAAACATAACCTAATGACTATGGCCCCTTCCACGGTGCCCTCCATAGGTCTCCCGCGATTTTATGAAATGTTTATGTATGGTAACGTTTTGTTATAATAGATGATACTAATAATGTTCTAGTGAAACAATGGTAATAGTACACTAGGACGTGTAATAATAGTAACTTTATTCGATATACTGTTTGTCCCAATTTTACCTGCTTAATATATAACTTAAAGACAAAATTCTCAAATACTTATTTTGTACCTTTTATGTATAGAGTTTATCTCTACTTTTATTAAAATATTTTTAAGATGATATAATATGGTAATATTTCATAATTCTTTTTAAATTAATAAATTAATAATTAGATGTTGCGATATTCCCAAAATAAATGCAAAATTCTTGTATTTATTGAAATAGTAATATAATTGCATATTGTGCTACAACAGTAAATCTAGTAAACTAACCGCACGACTTTTGTTTCACGATCTTTTTTTTCGGCATAGGTAAATCACGTTTTCCTAACATTAGCATCATCTGGTCATCTCTGTAAAATCACTGATTTTTATAAAATTAATTTAGAAGAGTGAAAACTATTGCTGCTAAATATATCTATACCTACTTCGTAGTAGACCCCAGATTTCCACATACTAGTGATGAATCTGCGCAAATGTTGTACATACTTCAAATATGCGAAATTCAAAATGTGATCAAGACATGATTATCCTCTGACATTTAAGCAATTAAACGATAAAGAACGACTACGACGATTGATAAAAGATATACGTAATTGTGAAATGAAGAGGAAATGAAAAATAAACATCTAATGAAGTATACCAACGCAAATATGTGCAAAACCCTATTTAATTGTTAAAATAATCTAATGTAAAATGATACAACATATTTTGTCCTATTTTATATTCTTTTATATTCAGGATACCCTGCACTATATATTTTATATATTTAATATTAATTAAGAAAATAGTTTATATTTTACATAAATATATATTTATATATAATATATATTTTACTTTATATATTATTAGTAATTATACTTTATACATTTAGTACCAGCCTTGCTTAATGGTTTTAATATTATCAAATGTTACTTTAAACGATATCATGTAACGATAATATTTATCACTTCTAGAAATTTTTTTTCTTGGTAACGTACATTACTATAAAACAATATAATCTATTAAGATTTATTACTAACTAGGAAACCCCGCCTTTGAAATTACGTATGTATTATATTTGTACGTTAAAAAGCTATTTTACTTAACCAAAAAAATATTTTATTATTTGTTCAAATAATCTTCTAAATATGGCAAATGAAAGAAATAAAAACAAAAGATCTATTATTGGAAAAAGCACGTAAGAAACTTCTATATTACCAAATCAAATAACCATATCAAATAATTTTATTTATTGTACAAAATTAATAAGGTCAAACATTTATTTCTGTATTAGACATTGTACCAGTTTTGGAGTATGTAATCAAGTGTCGTTAGCAAAAATTAAATTTCCAGCTGATTTATGTGCAGTATTAAATAAGACAAAACCCCAAAATAAGGAATTATACAATGATTATATGAAACTTATTAACAATCTTCCAAATATAAAAAGAGTAGAACCTGAGTATTACTTAATATTGTTCAAAATTTTATTATATTTAGAAGAGCATGAGCTTTTTTTAATTGCTGCAAAACATAATTTGGAAAATCAAAAGCTTAAATATGTTTCTGACACATTTGAAATCACAGTGCCTACTTTAGATGAAGATGATCCATTTATCACTGTTGGTGATACATTAAAAATTGAGGTGAAAAGATCAAAGTCTAAATATACCTGTAACATAACAGATATTATAGGGAAGAAAGTATATACAACAATACGTAAATCGTAAGTACATTTGCATTAGTTTGTAAGAATTAAAAAATAGAGTACAAATTATAGTTACTTACAAAATGTTTAGATCTCTTGTATCTCAACTTCTTGAAGAAGAAGTTAATATTTATTTCCTTCCTATGAATTGGCAAATAAAATGTTTTCATTATGTCTTACACATTATGTTCAAGCATAATTTGATAAACACAGTATATCCCAAAATAAATACAAATCTTTATACTTTACTAGAATTGTAAGTATTTTTAGTAATTATTCTTAATATATATGTTACTTTTTCATATACTTACTAATATATACTTATATGATACAGTGACTTGGATTGGGCTAATAAAAGTATAGCAAAAAATAAAGAACAGAAAATAGCAGTGAATAATATTTTGAATTGTTCGGCGTACCCTGCACCATACATTTTATTTGGTCCTCCTGGTACTGGCAAAACAACAACATTAGTTGAAACCATTTACCAAGTATAGATCTACTACTATAATTTATAGTGTAATATGAAAAAAATATGTTTTTCATTCTAAGATCTTGATTATGTTATCTTATAGATTAGGAAACAGTGCAAATCAAAAAATATTTTAGTATGTGCACATTCAAATGCAGCAGCTGATGAAATTGCAAATAGATTATTATGTTTACTTCCTCATAAAGATGTATTTCGGATGTATGCAGCAAGTAAATGTTGGTAAGTTATTATTCTCATGAATACTTGATACTTTATTAGTTTTATTTCTTTTCGCATTTGTAGTAACAATGTAGATGAGAAAATTTATCCAAATTCAAATTTTATTGATGATATGGTCCTTTATTTACCAAAAGAAATTTTTATTTTGAAGAAGATTGTTATTACAACATTAGTAACATGTATGAGGTATGTTTCCTTTTTATTTTTTTCAGTAATAGTTACATTTAGAATGGTATTTATAATTTATTAATTGCAGATTGGCGAGCCTTAAATTACGAAATGATCACTTTTCATATATATTTATTGATGAAGCCAGTCAAAGTATAGAATTAGAATCATTAATTCCACTTATAGTCATGAATTCGAAAAATGATACTGAAGCATTATATGCACAAATTGTTATTGCTGGTGATCCCTATCAACTTGGTCCTCTAATTAGATGTACAAAAATTCAACATTTGCTTGGTATGTAATTTCATATTATTATTTCATATTAAATTTATGTATTTTATTAACTGATATCGAGTTACATTATGTTTCTAGGAAAGTCTTTATTGGAAAGATTAATGGAATGTGAACCATATCAAAAAGTAAACAATAAATATAATTCGCGTTATATAACAAAGTTAATTCATAATTACCGTAGTCAAGAAGCTATTATACATACATCCAATAATTTATTTTATGAAAAGGACTTGTTATGTGATAAAAAAGAAAACAAACACAGCATAATTTCAAACTGGACAGTATTATCAAGGAAAACATTCCCTATCTTATTTCTTGTACTTAAAGGCGAAGAAGTAAGAACACCAAATGGAAGGTAATTATAACATTTCTATACTAAAAGCAAAGTTCTTACGTAATTAGTGAAATTTAAAAACATTATTTTCTAGTTTAATGAAGATTAAACATATTATCTTTTTAGTGTTTACAACGAGACAGAAATTACGGCCGTAACAAACATTACAAAAATATTAATGCGTTCCAAATTTGGTAATCGAAAAATTGAAGAAGAAGATATTGGAATTGTAACTCCATTCAAGCAACAGAAAATTATGATTAAAAGAAGTTTAAACTTGTATAAATTAAACAACATAGCTGTTGGGACAGTAGAGATATTTCAAGGACAAGAAAAAGAAATTATAGTCCTAAGCACAGTACGTTCACAATCTTTTAACCACCATGGTAAACAACATCTCGGTTTCTTAGCTAATCCAAAGGTATAATTTTACATAATATTTAAAGAGCAAATCTTTTTTGGTATTCTACATATAATAATAAGACTTAATAATTATATTTATTTGTTTTTTCAGAGGTTTAATGTTGCCTTAACAAGAGCAAAAGATTTATTAATAATAGTAGGAAATCCATTTATTCTTTGTGAAGACAAATATTGGAATACTTTGTGGAAATACTGTCAAAAAAATAATGCATATATTGCTATTGATGAAAATCTTATCTAAAAATTATTGACGTTTTTGATATATAATAATGAATTATTCATTGATAGAACACAAACTATTTTTTTATGAGATGAATAATCTATTAATATGTATAGAAACTTCTTTCTGTGTGTTTATGTTTTCATTATTTATGCATTCATTATGTATATATTCATATTAAGATTTCAATATTTAAATAAGTTTGTTAGATATTAACTTGGATATAAATAAATAGATAAATACATATAAAAAATAAAAATTTGCATTTTCGTTTAATATGAATTTATTTTAAAATATTCTACTACCTGGAGACTTTATAAAATTATGTATTGTTATGACTTGTGATTAACAAACATTAAATTTTTTTCGAAATCGAATAGTTTGTAAATATTTAAGAACCACTTCTTTTAAATTTCAAACTTTAGTTAATGATTTTAATCTTAAACTTTGTAAGATACAACTTTATTCTAAAAGAAGTTTAGCAGTATTTCCATTAACATCATTATTAATACCATGACGTACAGCAAACTCATGTTTCACACTCGCGAAAAGGATATCTGTTAGTAAAAAAATTTGTGCTATGGCAAATGCTAATGTAACTCCAAAATAAAAGTTTGCATTAGCTGATCTGGAATATATCCACTGATACCAAACAGTAGGTGCAAACACTGTACAGAATAGCATAAAACAGACTACAATAAATCCCTGTTGTGTATCTGTAAAAGAATATAAAATTTTGATAACACATCATATTGTCTACTTAATAGATAAACAACTAGTTAATATGAAAACTTACATTGGAATAAATGCTTCCATAATGGTAAAAGAGACATATAAAATCCAACATCTCCTATACAAGGGTAAGATTTAAATATTGCAGTAATTGCTAAATAAGAAAATGCTAATAGCATTGGATCATGTCGTAACCTCAATGCCAGTGGTACTATATATAATAAACTGACATTTATTTGAAAAGAAGCAATGAAAAGCCATCTAAAGTGCTCAAATACTTCTGTAAAAAAGTACCAATAAAGTCCAACATTTGGACGTAAATCAGGAACTGTTAAAATAAAGCCAAGTGTGTTCGAAATAAATGACCAACTTCCCATAATGTAATAGGAAATACAAAATAGAATGGTTAACATGCTTGCAAATATTATAAGATAGTTCGCAATATTGCTTCTTTGTTTTGTACTATTAGAACGAGCAATATAGATAATTGTTGGCACTATGAGTGAAACAGGATAAAGTCCTTGTAATGTTAATAAAGAAATTGATAAGCAATTCCAAAACATAGATCTTGTCATGGAAACCAATGCTATGGAATACAACAAATTTGTAAATACTGTTGTTGTATGTCCAACACAATTAAGTATTATGTATGGATTAAATAAATATCCTGCTGAGACATACATCATTGCAGTATATACTACAGAAGCGTCATTATGAATTTCTTTATTTTCATTGCATAATTTTTCCTCTTCTTTTTGTTTAGAAACCTAAAATTTAAATTATTTCATTATAACTGAATTATATTACAGCAATATTTTAAATATGTGAGATTTAACTGACCAATTCAGTCGTATATTGCTTTGCTGTAAGTCCAAGAAATACTGCTGTTAACAAATCAATGGACACAAATAAGCAAAATAATACCCATTGTGATAAATGTTGTTGTATAAAATTGAAAATATATAATCCGATAGGTGTTTCATGAAACAAATCTCCTGTATAAGGATCAATGCCACAGTTATACAAATACACTCCTTCAGTTACTAAAAATCAATCAGGGGAATCATAACAATTGTCAATCTAATTATTGTTTGTAATATTATAGTAATAATGCTACTAACGATACAAATATATACATGTATAAATAGCTTACATTACTTATAATAGAGAATAATAACGAGAATTTTATTTAGGTTATTATTATGTAAAATTTAAATGCAGCAAAATGACATTTATCCTAACCTCTCTTCCAAGAATTTAATGCAGTAGAAATTTCCACACGATCGCTAATCACTTTTTGGTACTCAGAATTCATCAATAAAAATCGAATAGTACCAGCTAAAATAAAATTTGATAAACATTGTTTCTTCATTTTTTAATTAAGCTATAAATCATTTATGTATTTGCGCGCGTTTTACGATCTACTTGTGACATGCAACCGGTATCTGGACAGACACACCATGCTATATATTATGTATTATATACCTTCTTTGTTTATTTAAACAATTGAATTTATCTTTACGGCTTTTTAAAAATATAATCTTTAATAACAATAACCACGGTATTATTTTGCATTTGATTGCTGCTAAGGAGAGTTATAATCAAAACATACTATTGGAGTGGTTTTATCTTTCCTTAATGAATCTAATTTATTTATCACAATTCAATAAAATAACTGTAAATATACTAGAGATCAATTTATAATAAAATCTATCTTTTTCTTATTCGAAATATTTTAACACATAGTTTATATTTAAAAAAATCATTAATAGTAGTACATGGTAAGCATCCTCATCAATTTAAAAATATAAATAAACAAATTGAAAATCTAAACAAAAGGTGTTTGTATTCTATTTGTAAAAAATCTTATTTCTTTTATTTTATTACATTGTAATTACTAGTTTACTGTACCATTTTTCTTATTTTAATCATCCTGCGGCAGAAGTTTTGTTTTCAAAATATTGCAGGAAGTTTAAATTTTTAATCGTGTGTAACAAAAAATGTGGAACGCTTCACGATTTTGCGTGTCATCCTTGCGCAGGGGCCATGCTAATCTTCTCTGTATCGTTCCAATTTTAGTATATGTACTGCCGAAGCAAGTACATTAGTAGATCTTAATTTCTCGTATATATAGACGCTTCACGATTTTGCGTGTCATCCTAAATGTGGAACGCTTCACGATTTTGCGTGTCATCCTTGCGCAGGGGCCATGCTAATCTTCTCTGTATCGTTCCAATTTTAGTATATGTACTGCCGAAGCAAGTACATTAGTAGATCTTAATTTCTCGTATATATAGAAACGAATTCATATTTCTACCACTAGCGAGAAGAGAATACTCATGGTAGCCATCTGGTGGCGTATTAATGTAGTATGAAACATAAAGTTTAACACGTTGACTGCCACGACACCCATATTCGGGTGTCAACAAAGTTTCTGATCAGGCTACGTAACCCGTATTCGGGTGTCGCTTATTTGACTACTTGCGAAAGATCGTCGTTAGTATTTGAAAAGATATTCCATAATAATAAATTGTTAATTAATAATTAATTGTAATAATAGTTGAATTGTTATAAAATAAAAATACGAAAATGGTTTATCAAAAAAATTATTTAGAATGTAAAACTTGAAAGCATTCTATACGTAGCTGGTCGGGACAATTTGGACAATAAGTTGTTGTTTTCTTCAAATTCTTTTGTGCCTTTATTCGGTCCATTCGACGTCTTTTATTCGCATAACATAGTTTGCACGCGCGTCTAATGCTTCTTCCGGAATCGTTTTCCCGAACGACGATATTGTGCCGATTCCGTCGAAGACAAGGAGTTTTTGTATTTTCAAACAACCCTAATAATTTTGCAACTAATAATCGTCTAAATATTCTAATATCTATATTCTTCCTTGTTGCAATTTTGTAAACCGTCAAAGCGTTTACAACAGAATTTCCCAGAAGGAGTTGAATGCCAAGTTTTCTGTACCATTTGATTCTTTTTCTAATTGTGGTGGCATAAAAAACCATTTGGTCGGAATAATCTATACCACACTTTCCTTCATTATATTCAACAACAGCTAGTGGTTTTAATGTTGCGAACAAACGAAACGAAAGATTCTTGAGACCACCACATGAGCGACTCGCATTATTAAAATATCGATGGGAGCACCTAGCAGAGAACGCTTGGTACTGCTATACGCGTGGCCTGACGGAAATTTCTTTGAAAACACGCGTGGTACTCAATGTGTTAATTAAGATACATATTACGTTAAAGAGACGATGGTACTTATTTATTTATTAAATCTTCCTGCGACAATTTTAAATTTGTTATCTTTATACTTTGATTTGAAAGGTGTTATAGTATTACAAAAATAATATATTATCCTACTAAAAATGGAACGAAACAGTAAAACCATTTTAGGTTAACTTTTGTATCTTAAACTACATAAAATAATGTATAATTTATTTGTAAATCGTACTCATTGCCAATTTCATTCTGTACAAAATGTTCTATGTGTTGTGTAATGTGTACAAATTATAATTCATAAATATATAAAAGATAATTTTAATAATGCTTCATATTTTAGCGCTTGACAGGGTGGCGATATGTAACATTTATAGGAACAATAGTAGGATTCATAGGAACGTTTTGTTATTTTACAATGATTAGCCCCATGATCAATCCAGAACCATATAGTATGTCTATAACATTTATAGTTATTAAATAAAATTATTTTTTTATATTGTGTGACATAAAAATTTCAGAACAAATTCGAGAAGCTGTGGCAACTGAAAGTGCAAATAAAAGAAATATAAGAAAAGACACAAATATTTAAGGAAATATAATATGAATAAAAAAAAACAGATTAGAGAGGACATTTATTGTACAAAATTAATTTTTATTATGTAGTTGGACATATGTCACTAAGATGTTGGTGTATATAAAATAGATTGAAGAACATTTAGTGTATTATGTTAAAAAATCAATAAATGTAATGATTTGTACTCTTCTTATAATTATTAATATAATTATGTTACTGTACAGATATCAGCTGCAAGAAGTTTCTTACTTGAAATGACTAGAAACTTCTCTATAGACATATCATCTTATAAATACAATATAAAGTTTGTGTTAAAAGTCATCATGATCACAAACATCTAGGAAGACATCAAATGCTTCACGGTTACAATTTCCGTCGGCAGTAAAAACATATTTATGAAATGTTCCGTCCACACAAATGGCTAGAAACAATTTAAAATTATATATTATACAGGCATCGGAGAACTGCTTTGGCTGTGAATTCTAGACAGAAATACAATAAAAGGAATTCACATACACATATGCCCTATTTGATTTATATTTGATATGGCCTCATATATATATAAACTCAGATTATAGCAAGTTTCTTCTTGAACAAACTTTATTTACAAAGCTCCACAAGATGTGTTGAAAATGACCTTGCTGCATCAGAACATAAGATTGGAGACATTTTACCATGGATTGTCTAACTCTCCATTCCACCAGGTATTGCTGGTTAAATATTGTGTTCTATTTGTAAATAGGTAAGTGAAACTAGCTTAACTATTTCTGTCTTTCAATAGAAGTATTCCAATATAAAATTCGCTATAACTTGTAAGCAAGGTGAAATAGGACATTTGTTTATATGAACTCTTTTATTGCTTTCATATGAAGAATCCACTGCCAAAGTGGTTCCCCAATGCTGTGGGACATCCTATATAATATAATAAATAGTTTTATAAATATTCTAAGTCACTATATTCAATACGCTTTTCATACAATACATACCTATAACAGAACTTCTTGTACCAAATGCACATACACAAGCACATTCTGGTGGTACTGTAAATGTAGCCAATGCCCATTGACTTTCAACATAATTTCCCAAAAATCCCATTTTTGAGAAACTGTAAATAAATTAATTATTAACTTTAATCATTAAAATTTATGAAAATTTGAACTATAATTACGTACGTCGATCTACGATTCAAGTGTGTGTCTTTTAATGCAAATATATGTACAGTTCCCTTATCACTGGAAGCACATAGAAATTCCGAATCTCTACTAAATGTAATGCTGAAATATAAATTATACTTTATAATTCATTATAATAAAATCTTTAAAAGTAAAATGTTGTTTTATAATTAATTTGTCTGTAGACGTATTTACCAATAAAGTGTTGCAGGGTCAGCACCTCTTCTCAATTCCACTAATAAGTGTCTACGTATACTATCCCATACTCTAACTAAAGTACCTTGAGTGGAAGCAGTTGCTATCATTGTTCCACTACTGTTAACTGCGAGACAGGCCAGTGCTCCCTAATAGTATTGTTTATAAACATAAAGAAATACTAGGAGAAGACGTGGTAATATAGAAACATTACCTTCATTTAAATCTGTATATAAAATACATATGTACCTGGTGTGCTGCTAGAGTTGCAGGAGCACTAGAACTTCCAGCTTCTGTAGCACCAAGGTCAATCAATTGTACACTACCCTGTTTATGACCAGGAAAAGCAAGAAGTTGTTTTTGTGCAGCAGCTAATGTAGCAACTTCAACTAATCCTTTTGGATTATCTCTGGTTTCTAAAGTTAACAATCTTCGTGTTGGCATAGGAAATGAGAAAACATGTATTTCTCGCTGAAGTGCCACTATCATTCTGTTTTGTAAAATTATTCCTAAGTAAATGCAACATTTATACTGATTAAAAATAAAAGTCAATTTTATTAATGAACTTACTTGTCCCTACGTAATCGTATAGCTTTTATAGGACTGGTAAATGTAATTTCCATTACGAACTTTTTCGATAAATCATCATAGATAAGTACTGTATTTTCTGCAAACTTTGGTTTTGTACCACCACCTACTATGGCAATGATATTTGTTCTCCAAAGCATCTCTGCAATAGCTATACTTCCCATTATGTCATTATCTAAATGTGCTTTTTCAACTAATGGTTCTACATTGTATACTCTAAGACCAGATTCCATGCAACATGTAAAACATCCTAAAAGAATACAAATTAGGAACAAAATATCAAACAACAAAACTAGTTTAATAAATGATAAAAAGTTACTGACATTAATTATCTGAAATCTTAATAACTAAATTGAACATTGGCACATGAGAATATATAGTGACAATACTGTTATAAATAAACCAGATTTGTTTTAATATTATATTTTATTCTTTATTCTCTTATAACACTATATATATTTATTTTTCATTAAACAAAGTTAAATATTTTTAACTTTTTACTTTTAAAACAATGTAACAGGGATATTAGATTCTAAATTATTGAAAATAAATTCACACCGTGATTCTTAAGGATTTAGGTAATTAAAGTTATAAGCAATGGTTACCTTGATCCTGATTAAATCGTAAATTAAGAATATTTCTTTCTCCAGCCATTTGATATTATCTGGTGTTACATTAAATTTAATGAATGAGTATTTCTTCTATCGATATATGAATTTTTTTCTAATAACTATACTACGTGTTTTTGTTTACATTCTCCTTTCACAATCAGCTGTGACTACGATACAATGTTTGGCACAGTATTTCATTCTTTATGTGGTACGTAAGATAGCATTGTAAGGCTGATTTTCACTTTATGAATAGCGCAAGCAAATATCTTTTAATAGGTTTATTATTTTCTCTGGGTGGTACAACAGTTATTTTTAATAAATATCTTTCGTATATAACTAATGAAAATCATAATAATTCTTATATATATATATATATATATATGTATGCATGTATGTTTGTATATATATGTATATATATTACTGAGTTACATTTAATAAATTAAGAAATTAAAAATATAAACTCGAAATAAATTTGGTAATATTTTTTTCATGTATCAACTGTAATTTAAATAATTAAAAATATTGTATAGAATAGTAATTATTTTTATCATATTATTTGAGAAAACTAGTAATAACAATAATGAAAAATTATTTCAAAGATAGAAAATAAAATGACACTATTTCTATGAATAAATAAAATCTTTAATACAAAATGTACTAAATGATTTCTAGATTTACGCCCAGTTTTATGTTTACAACATTGGCTGCAGTGATATCAGAGATGAGCACAGTCATATACCATCGTGGAAATGAGCATTGAATAACGATTATATTCGAGAGGAAGTGAGAGCACTCATGCACATTGTTCTAGTTGTTCCACGATACGTGCTGCACCACGCGGCCAAACACTGAAGGTGTTTTACGCTAGCATATGTAAGAACCTATGAAGTTAGGAGTTTGCCCTGTTTGATTCCATGCTAGGATATAGAAAAAAAAAGAAAAATTATAGTATAATTTCCAATAATGAAAAAATATTTATATTGCATAACATTTGTTAGGTACTAGGTAGATACAAAATAATAATAATAACGTAATCATAATAATCATATATGTAACACAAATACATTATCGTGGTACCACTGTTTCTTACCATTCCCTTACTATGCGGTCTACTGAGTCGAGTACACGATCGCATTAAGGAGAGAAAGAAAGAGACAGAGATAACCGGGTACGCCCCATTTTTACACGATGGTGTTACACAAGGAATACTAAGTTCTTCATTGAAGCGCCTCTCTGCGTCTAAATTAACCAACGTCGTTTGGTTACTAAGAGCAGTTAAAAGCCTTATCTTCACCAGGAAGGAAATTTCTCTCTGATATAAGTATCTATAACGGACATTTTTAATATTAATTTCTTTCTCCTTCTCCATTCCCATTGTTCATTAAATAATTTATTTAAAAAATCATATAAAATCAATTAATTATCGTATATTCAAAGCGCACATGCACTTTTTTATATATTTCATGATGATTATTCACTTTTTAATGAGATAAGTTATCATACACGAAGTGTAGACTAAACCTATATTCTTTTTCGTATCTCATGTTTTGATGGTCACCTGGAACCCTTACCATTTTCGTGTCTCATGCAACGTTATCGATTCGATATAGTAATGGTTTGAATTTAAAACTAAAATTTTCTATAAACTTCCAAATAATGGAATAACATATCTTATAACGAAACAGAATTGTATACTTTTATAATACTGCAAAGAGGATTATTTCATTACGCTATATTAAAAAAAATATAGATACTTTGATAAATCAATTATCTTATTTATTAAATAAGAAGAAGTAAGAAATATCACTTAATAAATATAACTTTGTACGAAAAGTACGCATAATGAGTTTATGTATATGAATATGTATATCTATCTTATAATTAGTTAAAATTAAAATGCGTATGTTTGTTTGGCTATCCCACAATTCAATATTCCCCGGTGACCCACGACGGGTGCTAATAGTTTACTTATTAATAAGTAGCTTCTATAGTCCAGTTTAAATGAATGAAAGAAGAGAATTTAGCAAAACCTAAACTAGATTACAGAGAGTGTAGTTTTTGGCTTGACGTCGTTATCCAAAAGTTAATTGATTGATGTAAACATTAATGGTTGGAAAATGATGCCAATTACCAGGTCTCACCCCAAGGAGGTAACAACGTACCAGATCAGCCCATGAGCCACTCAACATTACACATAAATCTCGACATTCAAGACTATGATAAATCTATAAATGGCTCAGCTTAGCTTTATCTTAACACTGATCAAAGACCTATATTTCTTTTCTAAAAATAAGTCGAAAAGTAGTAACAAATAATAATGTTAACAACAATAACAGTTTCTTTTTAACGAATACTCCTTCAAAAATAACCGAAATAGTCTTCCACTGTTATTATAATTAATATATGCCAGAAATATGAACAAACTTATACCTTGGATGTTTGCTCAATGAAAAAGAAAGAAATTAAAGGAAAGAAAGAAATGATCAAACTTATACTGACGAGCTTCACGTCGGTAGAGGTTGTAGCACGATTGTAAAGCAAGGCTATTTTTTTAGTTGAAATCTTAAAATATTAAGGTATTATTAAACACAATTTCAGTTTCTTTCGCATTTAATAGTCAGACACGTGTTACGAATGTGATATTTTCAAAGGGTAACATGGAAATACGTGTAATAGTAAGAGTTGCCGAACATGTAGTTACCCTCTTTTATCATTGATTATATATTTAAATTAACTTTTATATTCTTCGAATGATTTTACATTTTATTGTTATAATTACCATGATTGTATCTCATTACGACACCGATGAAAAGTTATACAACTTTGAACTTTTTGAGCCTTTCTACAATCGAAGAATTCTATTCACCAATATATTCTATGTTACTTTCCAAATATTTTCGTGGATAAAAACACAACTTTTACATAAAGATACACAGCTTAGCATGTATCGAGATTAATTTGTACTTTTGTAGTAAGATTAGAAACATTAATACTTTTTCAAATATTATAAAACAATGGAATAAGAAGACTTTTGAGCGAAAGTGAATATGATTGATATGAATAAAACTGGTTCTTAGAAAGAATATTTGACATTTTAAGGAAATATCGATATCAGTGTCACTCATATATATACATATATATGTACAGTGAATGGCCAGCGTTCGATAACGACTTTATCGTTAATAACGATAAGATAAGTGAGGACTTCTCAGTAAGAAACGAACCACGAAATCCGGTACACATATTTAAATTATGTTCGTCCTTATATTTTGTTTCATCAGTTTGAGTCGCGCTGCTATCAATTATATTTCGAACATCACGAAGATGAAAAGCCTAGCGCATTCTTTTCGAGATCAACCGATCTCGCAGGATCCAACAAAGGAAGTAAGAGAGACACGTCTTTTTTACAAACATCTTTTATTTCGTTTTGTGGAAACTGTTATTCGCCTTTGGAACAAATTGTATATCCGATTGTTGTTCACGGTGATTACGTTGTAATTAACCGATGAGTAGATAAAAATTGTATATGATGTCAAATAACGTTGCTATTTACTATATATTTGCCTGAGATGAGATCACAGGAAAATCGGAAATAAGAAGATCCTTGTAATTCGTTATTTTCAGAATTACTCCATGGACTCCAAGGAAAATTTAGATTTAATTGACGCTAAAGTAGTACGTGGTATATCGTACAGGAAGGAAATCGTACAGAATTTCCCTATACATAAAGACGCAAAAATCTATCCGATGAATAATAGACGTGGTAAATGCGTGATATTCAATAATGAGACCTTTATTGAAATGGAAAAGCGAGATGGAACTAAAAATGATGAGGAAGCGATAAAGCACACCTTCACTAATCTGGGTTTCGAAGTGATACCTCATTCGGATCTTGACTACGTTGGCATCATGGAGATTGCTGCAAAGTGTATGTCTTCAGTATGTTCATTGTTTGATTTCAAAAGGTCCGCACGTTATCACTGATATTGACAGTAATCTTGACAATGCACTTTGATAATAATATTGTCAATACACTTTAATTTTTTTGAGACCACACACGATCAGTATTATTGACAATATTATTGAAAATAATAAGTTGGAAGGTGCTTTTAAAAAACGTATTATGCATATTGTGTTATACTGCGTTTAAAGCACATTTCAATTATTGTCTAGTTTTTGCAATATTTTGAATAATATGCAAGTTCTTAGTTACAATGATTTTTGTTCTTCGAAACGCTATATAAAACGCTATATAAAGCAATATTCACATATGAATTTATTGAGAGGAATTACTTTAAATAATGAAACTACTTATTCGAATTACATACTCTACAATGAACTGAAATATGTTTCAATAAGTTACTGTTAATCTTAGCACACGGCTAATATTATTGTTAGTATTGACATCACTCACCAGTATTGATGTTTACGTGGCAAAATATTCAAATTTTCGTCAATATTCTGCCTCAGTCCTCTGATATCGATCGCACATGATCAATAACATTGTCCATATTTGGTGATATTAATATTATTATTGGTCGTGTGCGGGTTCTTTAATTATATACTATGCATTGATCGTTGATGTTGATTGTTTTGTAGTGTCTGCGAACAATTACGAAGATTATGACTGTATCTGTATTTTTATATTAAGCCATGGCACTAGTGGTGATTATGTATACGCGAAGGATTATCCATATCGGGTATCTGATATTTGGGGAAGATTCACCGCAGATAATTGTCCATCATTAACTGGTAAACCAAAGCTATTTTTCATACAGGTCAGTGTCTCCTACGATTTTTTGCAACACTTCATTTTTAATCTTTTTCAATTAATTTATGTTATAAAATTTTGTGTTTTAACGCTGCGATTATAAAAATAATTCAAGTCCCAAAGATTTGCCTAATATTTCTCCCAGATACTATTTCTTCTTCACTAACAGTACATTACGATTCCATTTTCTTTTATTTAAGTTTTTAATCTTCTACCTTTAAGAAGTCGATAACGTTATATTTGAGATATCTGTGGGTCACATATTTCAAACTTATCCACCAGCTTTAAAAATCCGGCCATTTAAGACTTAACAGTTTTTTTACTCTACCTATTATTAGTATATTATACATATTGTAGTATCGTGGAAATTAAGATATAAATTTTTTCCCGATTACTTACAATTTATTAATAGTGAATTGAATATACAGGTATTAATTGGACAGAAAACGATGTTTGTTTAACTGAAACTAAATGCGATACTCGTATCTATCTCAAATAACTTTACAGTTATTTGGCAACTCTCACAACGAATCTAACACTCTCTTTCTCTCTCTCACTAGCAACTCTAAGAACACTGACAACTCGATCGATTCTCTCAACTCTACTCTTCGATGTCTCGATCAACTCTGACTCTCGCAACACACTCGCTTTTCGATTCGCATATTCTGACCTGTCGGTCATCCCCCCTTGAAACACGAAACCGTCCTTCTACTCTAACGTTGTTTGTTGTTTTTCTCATATCTCTGTAAGAACTAGGTGACTTTAGTCACATAGGCGCTCTTAAATGTAAACGAACCGCAGAAGGACGACGTACACGGTTTTTTCTATTTTCAACCGATCTCTAATTCAAACTACTTTACGATATTACAATATATTTGTATATTCGTAGTATATACATATAGTATAAATGTAAAGATATATGTATAATATATTACGTTTAAGTATTCATATATTACAAATATATATGTTATTAATAATACAGTATTTAACAATTGTTACTTCTTATAGGCTTGTAAAGGAAAGAATCCCATGCAAGGTATTCGTGTAAAGAGTGCAACTGATTCGGTCCAAAAGAGTTACACAATTCCTACTCATGCAGATTTCCTGTACGGCTACAGTTGTGTAGAAGGTAAATATAGTTTAAACAAAAAAATGTCATTGTTTACATATATATAACGATACAAACGCATCGAACTTTAATTTTCGACATTGAAAGTTCTTAGAAACGATGAAGATCGCACGTAATTTAATCCAAGTATTATATATATTTTATTTAAGACTATAAAATTTGGATCTTCTTACTTTCGTGCCATACTTACGTTTTCAAATGTTAAGACGAAATTTGTACTGTAAATGGTATTTGCAATCGTTAAGTCGGAGATTGTTTCTCAATCGAGACAAGCATTGTCTCATATTTTTTAATTTTGTCAAAGTCTTCTAAAGAGTTTTACTTCGTTCGCAGGTCACTACTCGTTTCGAGGTTTAGAAGGTAGCTACTACATTCAGGCTCTATGCGAGGTGATCAACGAACATTGGAGGAATATGGATCTACTGAAAATGTTAACGATAATATCGCGCAAGGTCGCTTTCGAATTCGAAGTTTCACACAATAGTTCATTTCTACATGAGACAAAACAAATGCCTACCTTTAGCTCAACATTGACTAGAGATCTATATTTTTTACCGAAAAATAAGTCATAGAACAGTAACAATATGTTTTTAACGAATGATCTCTTAAAAGTTTTGAAAACAGTCTTTCATTGTTATTGCAATTAATATATACAAAAAATGTGGTAAAAATTCAGGAAAGGGAGAAATACTTTCACCCCCGTTTATATACTATTAGGATACTTACAAAAAAACAAGGTGAATCCGACAAACCGTTAGAAAGTTATTAAATCTTGTTAAAAATTTTATTTTAAACTTAGCTACTAGGAAAGTCCTTGTAAATTGCTCCCAATATTTTTCGCCTTGTCATCCCTATGCAAATTCAAAATTTTTTCTGATCCATGACTTTCTTAACAATTTTAAGGAAACCACCAAATTTCCTAATAAGTAATTATGAACGAGGATGTACAGAAGTATGCGTTTAATTTGCAGCCTTTTGTGTTTCCAACGAGTGCGCTGTGAACATATATTCTATATAGTACGAAAGTGGATGCGGCGTTAGATCACGTTGGCCTTGAGCGATTAAATGATTTTGAACAGATTTCAGTCCTGAATTGTTGTATTGTGATTAGCACAATGTTCGAGGATAATGTAAGTCCTCTTTCGCGATTTACAATTTTATTAACTGCTTCATTTCCTTCTAGTAATCTGCCAATTTATGTTAAGGATATTCATCGTTTTACGTGACTCGAGCTTATTATAAATGAGAGGATAGATGTAAAGATAGATAAAATTTTGTGATGCCAGTATAGTATGGGCTATGATATAACAAAGTTATAAATTGAATCATAGTATTCCAGTCAGAATAGAAGGCACAAGGTCTTCGTTGGCAGAGGTTGTAGCACGATCGCAAAGAATGGCTATCTTTGAGTTGAAATCTTACGATATTAAAGGAGTAACGAATTGCATGTTTCTTAGAATTTCAGTTTCTTTCGCACTCGATAGCCAGAGACGTATTACAAATTTGATATTTTCAAAGGGTAACATAAAAATACAAGTAGCAGTAAGAGTTGCCGGACGTCTCGTGGTAGTTCAGTACATATCACATGCTTCTTTATCATATATAATTATAGACATATTTAAAGTAACTATTTATATTGTAATTTTTGTATGTATTTCTAGAGTGGTTTCATATTTTATTACCATAATCATGATAATCGTGTCGTATTACAGTCGTATGAAAAATTTTGTGCTGTAGATAGAATATATTTACAAAAATTTTTTATAATCATTGTACAAATACTTTCATGAGTTACTGTATACATACAGTGGAAAAATTGATATATTACTCATTTTGCAAACAGTAAAAGGGCAATTTGAATTTCATACATTTTAAAGCTTAAAGTGTTTGGAAAAGATCCAAAAGGTTTGAAAGATCAATTTAATTCAACGAATGTAGTATGAACAAACGATTTTTTTTAGCATCGAGATCGATCCAGAATTTTCCTGATAATTGACACCATTATATAGAATGATACGCAGGAAAAATTCTAAAAACGCGTGGAAAGTTGTACAAAACGAGGAAACTGTTTAATTCAGGTTCGGTAAATGGATCGTAGACTTTTACACTTTGACAAGCACCAGTTATTTTGACTGGTATTGATAATGTATTAAGGATTAGAGTACTATTTGGTAAATGTATTAAGGAAAGAAAAAATAATATTTACAAAACTAAAACGAGTTCTTTTCTTCCATGTAGATAGTGTTAGGAAAAAAGAGAAATAGATGAAATAATTCGATATCAATTAGAAATAGAAATTCAGTTTTTATACAATACTATAAAGTTTAAAGTTTATCAGAATTAATTTCTATTAAAATACGTACAGAATAATTATTTATCGAAAAGCATACCTTCGCTTCTTTTCCTCTACAGTTCTTCAACGGAAGATCATACATCGTTCCTCTTCAATTTCTTGATTGTGCAACTATTTCTTGATCCATAGTTTCGCGTTCCTGATCCATTCTCTCTCCCCTTTTTTTCTTTCTTTTTCTTCCATTTTATCTTTCTTTTCGATCATCGCTCTTCGGTGCAACATTTTCCGCGGATTTTTCTCGAGCACTTGTTCCTGCTCGATCTCCCATCAGTATTTAATTGGCTCTCCTATTCGAACTGCTGTCTGCTCTTCGAAATGAAAAAAGCTCGTTAACTTTAAACAAGCGATACCGCCATGCCACCAATTACCGGCCGCTGAAAAAAATCCGCTTTGCGGATTGCCCATTGGGGGTGAAATTCTGCTGGAAACTGTACGACGATGACGTTTGAACATATTTTTTTCTATTTCAGGGATAAAGAGCATTTTCGGTCTGCGGATGTTTATACAAATTCATATTTTTATGAACGCAAGTAAAAAATGTCAAAGCTAGGCATAGATCTGTTTCATGCATTAAGAAAATTATATTTTGGATATTTTCCATACAGGATGCTCCACGGTTTAACACTCAAATTTGATTAGTATATTGTACAAAGATAATCTAGTAAAAGGTCATTTCAAGCTTTTTTAAAGAAGATGTAATAATAATACGAGATATTGATGACTAATTATGCTATTATTTTATTATACTAGAATTTTAAAATCGCTAAAAGCTTGCGATAGCCTTACTCGGGGAACTGGAGTGAATATATTTAAGAGTCTCTGTCTCGTATATCCAGCAATTCTTCTAATAGGCAAATGATCTTTGCTAACGAATCTAATTTAAATCGTTCCCCTCGTAGGCGATGAAAATTGGTTCAATTCGATAACACTGTAATCGCTATGATTAGAGTGTCGCGTCGTTACTTTCGTGCTCCACGTGTGTTTCGACGCGTAGCAAGAATTCGATTGTTAGAAAGAATCATATATATTTTGCGGAAGTAAAAAGAATTTCTATGATTTAAAAAAAAAAACAAATTGTTTATCGCAATGCTACAAATACTTCAATTTCTTCGTAAGGTTAAAAAATCATAGAATCTAAAAGAAACAGCAAATAAGTATAAAAATTTTGGAATTCTCTTTCATAACCGCAATGTTAAAAAATAGAATTCATAATGTAAATTGATGGAAAAGAAATTGTCGAGAAAGTCGAATCTTGTGGATTAATAAAAATAGAAAATGCTACTGAAATGAAAATTGTATCTTTTGCGATACGAAAATTGTATCATAGAAAATTGTATCTTTTCTAAGATAAAGGAGAACGATAACAAGCTGTACAGGTATGAATGTTATGGATTAGAACGTAAGGAAATGGAATATTCTGTATGAAATTTACACGTCCTATTAAATCAAGCATTCAGTAGCCTGTTTCCAGATCTGCTTGACAAACATATCCCCGCAGACTTATCCCCAGTGTGGTTCTGCGTTTCTCCGTTCAGCGGCTAATAAACTGCATCACGATATTATCAACGTGCCCGATCCATAAATCACCCGGGCGTTGTTCAGTGTCCGAAAAATCGTTATCGCATGAATTAATAGTGATTAACTAAGGTACGATTTCGTTATTTAAACATATCGTTCTCGTTCCGATTGTTTTAATAAATGAAAACTGTACACTGAAAGCTCAGTTTTCATTTGGAAACGATGTTATGTTTCACACGATATCGTAATAATAATGTCACGATAATATCTAATAATCTAATAATAATTCCTTAATAATAAATATCTGATAATGGGGAACAAGGAACATTATTCATTTTTACCATTTCAACAGCAAATCATCTCTTTATTTTTTCACCAGAAAAATTTCACTTCTATCTATCTGTAAAAATGCTATAACAATAGCGATATGATAATAATAATAACAATAGTCTACAGAGTAATTATTCAGAGCAATCTTTTCATCATTTGATCATTTCAGCTTCCAAATTTAAACGATTATACAAATATAAATCGTTTGGATATATCTAATTTAATCTAATCTCCCTACACAAAATATCACATTTAATCCAAACATCAACTGTTCTATCTCCGAACCAATTTCCATTCAACACCGACTAAAAAAAAAAAAGGGAAAATAGCTAGTAATTCCAACTCTCTGGACGGAGCAATCAGCGCAATTACCAACAGAAGGTCGAACAGTAGTCTACGACCCTCCGAACACTTTTGCCTCCGCTTGACTGGACCGTGAAAAATAATTCAACTAACAACTTCCTTTGACGTGGATCACTCATGGATCGCGTCGTTCAATGATATGTACGTTTATAGTAAGTTCTGGACTACGCAACCCGTGGAGGACGATGACCAGGGTCATAGTCGATGCCAGTGGAGCAGTTTCGGCGTCGACAGGCATTCGTGTGTTGGGATCAGGGGCGGAATGGAGCGAAAGAGGAAGAGGGGAGACACGATTCTGGCCGTGGAGCAAACGTAAGAGTCAGGAGTTTGCGCGAACAGATCAATACTGCCCCCGCACGTGGATTCGTCTCTTTCCTTACACGCCTTTCTCTCTCAGCCTGTCTAGCGTAAAAATCTCGCTGGCCTATCCTGTCCTCTTTCATCTCTGCTCGCTTTTCCACTTCCTTTTCCTCGCTATTGCTCCGGTTCCTCTAGCACCGTGCCTCTATTTCCCTATTTTTCCTTTTCAATCTTTTCTCCTTCCGTTTTGTTCCAGCCTCCATACAGTCTGAGGTACATTCACGCGTCTCTTTCTACCTCTTTAATCTCATTCCTCCAACTTCCACCCCGCACGATTTTCTTCGTCCTTCTCGTTCGTTCGCATTCTTTCTATTCTCCGTTTTATTGTCTGTCTGAGAAGGAATTCGTGGCGTCTATTAGGGATTATTTAGGGATCTGAAAAGATTTATGTATTTCTAGGATCTTCGAGATTTTTGAAATTGTGGTTAGAAAATCATTTAAAACTATTTTATCTATTGCCCCGGTTTCTCTAGTACCGTGCCTATTTTTCTATTTTTCCTCTTCAATCTTTCTTCAATTTTGTTTTGTTCCACCCTCAATGAGGCCTGAGTTATATACGCGCGTCTTTTCTTACGCTGTTAATTCTGTTTCTCTGACTCTCGTCCTGCACGATTTTCTTCTACTTTTCGTCCGTTTACTTCTCTTCGCTAACATGCCGCTTAATTTCTCTCTTCTCACTCGTAGCAAGTTCTCGCACGAGTCTGGATTTCTTCGGCCTACCACCGGATCTTCTCATCACTACACCTTCTGAGTTAGAGTAATCGTGTACATGTTCCCCTTTTCAGGAACGCTGCTCTTCGTTGTTAAGTTTCCTTCTTTCCTCTCTCTTAGAATCCTTTCCTTATTTTTCGTCCCTTTTTCACGTGTTTATGAATCTTCCTTTTTCGCCTGACTGGTTATATTATACCTATGTTTCGATCATGTGCACACGATGACTAAAATCTTATATCCTTCGCATTTTATCCTTTCACTTCATTTAAACGTTTGTACGTAAAATAAATAGTAAGAAAAATATTTTGATTAAAAGTGTATGAAATGTTTTAATCATAAATATTGAAATCTCTCAGAGCTGCTTATCGCAATAGTCACGCGCAATGTTTTCATTTCCACACTGTGAATGAAACGTGAATAAAAGTGTCACCCCTTTGCTTTATAATTATTAAACGATCTTCAGCTCTGTCACACGTAATAAAGTGCAGAAAGGAGAATGAGCCCAGTTCATCGATTCTCATCTCGTTTCTATTCAATATAGAACTTCCTTCTTTTATCTTCCTTTATCCTCGTATCTGTTTATTCTGTTCTTCAGACTTCAGCCTGAAATTCGGTTCTACCCTTCCAACAAGTAAGTTCTACTTCTAGGCAGGATTATACAGCCGCTTTCATCTTACCGTGTGTTCATCGACGCACGTATAGTTGGTGCAAGATATACAGTGAGGTTATAAATTAACGTGTTGACTGCTGATAACGTCCCGACATGACCTGATTGCTCCCAGAAACGGGTGGGGCCACGTTGGCATCACGATCAAATTCTTTTCCAAAGCAATGTTTTTCAGTGAATTCATATATAGATATTGTTTCTGATTTCTAATCAATTGCTTTGAATGTTGCTTCAAATGTACGAATACTTTCGTGAGTATTACAGTAAATTACTGACACTAAATCCTTGCCACTTTTATCTGAATTAATTGCTACGTTACTAATCCGATATTTCACAATGGAAGGTAGGACATTTCAACTAATAATGGCTGTATAACGCCTGGCCGATTTTACGAGCTCACTGTATCGCTTCTACCGACTATACACGCTTTCTTCCCGCAACGTACGACCCTTCTCTATTTGTATCGTAACCTCCCTCGACCTTCCTTTTATCTTCCTCCATGCTTTATCCCTTTTTTTCGCTACCCTCTTTGTGAGCCCCTAGCCTAGTGTCTCTGTTTCCGCGTACCTTCTCTTTCCTCCCCCATTTTCCTACTTTTATCCCTCGTTCTATCCCTTTTACTCTTTGCTAGTTTCCAACCCTCTCTTCTCATCTTTATTCCTCTTTGTTCATCGCGTTAGCTAGCCTCTATCCTCGCCTGGAGCTCTTCGACTATCGTTTCTAGTCGACGTTTCGTAGCCTCTTCCTGTTTCTGCATACACCGGTATATGCGATATTTCTGTCCTCGTTTTGAGAATCATATATATGTACGTTGTCTCTGTCACGCAGAGTTTCTCTCGTCCGTTCATTCAGCACACAACATGCTTCGTCGTTTTTAGATCCTCGTCTCGTTTTCACCTTCGTCGCTTCTCGCTGTTTGAACGCAGTTTTCAGTACTGCCGCTGTTTCCCTTGATCTCTCCCTTTGTGTCGCGTTCCTCCGCGTTTGCTCTCCCATCCTCCTCTTGGTACCTATACGTGCACGCGTGTATGGATATGTGCGCGTTTTTTGCGGCTGCAGGTATCTAATGTTTCATCCACTTTTCGCTTCTTCGTTCTTTCATCCGTTCTATGCTGTTCTGCTTTGGCTATACTTTTCTATCCCCTGCTTTATTTACTGGAAGTGTTCGTGGTAGGTATTAGAGATTATTTAGAAATCTTGTACAATTTATATGCGTTTTAAGGTCCTCGAGATTTTTTAAATCGCTGTTAAGGAATTTAATAATCATAAAACTTGTAGGAAAATTTCGTCTTTTACTTTTATCTTCAGAATTTATAGAGAAGGCAGAAATCGAAGGAACGTTTAAAATTTTTAAGGAACTTTTAAGAATTGATAATTTGCTAATTTTTATATCGAAAAGAGTATTCTTTTTAAACTGTTTCATCTGTATGGTATTACTACGTACTTCCTTGCAAGATTGTAGCATCATAAAAATTACTAATTACTTCAAAAATTCTATTCTAATTTTATCGCTGTAATTAGTTTTCAATTAGCCTGAATCATCAACTTTGGAAGGAGTGTTGAATTTTCAATTGCTATTACTAAATTAGCCCGTATTATTTGAGGTAACATTGTTTCCTCAACTCGCGATACTTGCGCTGCCATTTCCATTTCAAGTTGCAACCTTTTTCTACCTGTACGTCGCGGTCGGTCCGTTTCCATCAGCATCACTGTCTATACTTTTCGTTTATCCTTCCTTTACCTAGCTGCCATTCTCTTTCGCGTTTCTCCCGGCCGTCTACCTCGTCATAGGTTTTCTGTCACTTTTCTATCTCCCATGTCGCGTTCCTTTGCGTTTTGCCCCCGATATCTCTCTATTCCTGTCGTAACAGCAACTTTGTCACGTTTCCTCTTAATTCGCAATTCTTCTCGGCGCCCTTCTTCTCTTTCCTTTTTTCACCCCTTTTTCCTCTTTCGCTGCTGTAAACGATGCTTTATCATCTCCAATTTTCTATCTTGTATTTCCTCTATAGGCGCTATTTTTTTTATACATCTTTTTCTTTTTATATCCTTTTTTTAACACACATTCTTTTTTAAATTCATTTTTTCTTCAGATTCTTGTTTCCTATTTTTGCTGCTGATTCGCTGTAATAAATCGTCCAGTGTGTTTTCATCTTCTGCTACCACTTCGAACTTTTTTGGTTTTTCAGATCATTTCTTTCATTTCTTCCGTCTCTTTCCTCCAACTCTTTGCCCCTGCTTGTATTTGCTGGATTCCTTTTATCCCCTCCTTTCCGTTAAATGTTTACAAACAACTAAATCATATAGCTCGAAGCTTTCCATCATCGTTTTAGCAGGAAATTCTATTTTACAAGCTCTTACACTTTGTATCAACATCTTGCTTTGCATTTGAATTCCTTCTCGTGCTCCAGTCTTCCCCTCACTTCTCCGTGTTGTATCCCCCGGATCATAAGCTTATCTACCCTCAACCCACTTTCACCCCGTGGATTTCCTACATTTCCATTTCCTACCGTTTTCTCCTTTAGTTCACCTTTTTGCGTCTCTCTCGCGTTTATTGCCTTTCGATAACTTCCATGTTTGTTTTTTCTGTTTCGCTTCTCTTTTCAGATCTACTTCATTTTTATCTCCTCTCCGCGTTCTGCTCCATCATTCCCCTTCAACAGCCTGTTTCACTTCCACGGATCATCCCTGCCCTTCGACAATCCCTATCTTCATCTCTCGTCCATTCCTCCTACGCCACTCAGAAGCTCCCATCTCTTTCCGTTTTTAATTTCATCCCTCTCCCTTCCTTAGAGAGTATCCGTGTTTCTTTCTTTCCGCCTCTCCTCCTCTCCAATTTCAGTCATCTTTCTCCCCTCTACGATATCTATCTTTCTCTTTCTCCCTGTTCCATCTCGCTTCTTCCTCCCCTCCCCCCGGCAAACTTTATCTTCGTCTCTTTCCCTTGTTTCACCCTTCTATCCTCGTTTCACTCTCCCTGCACCCCTTTCAACATCCTCTTTTTCCCTCGCACCCCCACATACCTTTCAACATACCTTTCTCTTTCTCCCTTTCATACCACCCCTGTATTTCCCCTTTCGCTCCTCTTTTCATCCTTCGTAGTTAACATTTTTCTTTCTCTTTTCAGATCCTGCTTTCTACGGAGAATAGAAAGAGAAAGAGAGAGAGAGAGAGAATTACAAGCGAGAAAGACGGAGGCCAAATTAAACAGAGGAAGATGGACAAACAGAGAGGGAGCGAGGTAAATGTCATTCCCCTCCTTCGTAGACACCATCCCTCGCCCCCTTGCGTGGCAACAGCTTCCATCCTTCTCCCTCTCCGTCTGCGGCACGACTCCCTGGCAAGGTGGCGGTCCAGCGCGCACGGCCTATCAGCCGTACGGGATGCTGCGAGTCCGGAGTACTAGATTCAGTCGTACGCTTGGCTCCCTCCTGTCGCCGCCGTTGTGTTCGCGTACGCTCTTCTCGCGCACGATCCTCGTTAAAAGCGTCCGCGTGTCGCGACCACCAGCCAATCTTCCACCGACCCATCCGTCACGCGTCTTCACGTCTTCGTCCCTTCTCCGCGTCTACCCCC